GTCTTGCTGAATTCCAGAGTCTGGCCTCAAACTTGTCTTCCTCCTGCCTCAGCCTCCAGAGTAGCCAAGATTATGCACCATTACACAGGCTGTTTATTCTTTTTTTATGAGGAAAGAAGTCATTTCATTTTTGTCTCCCAGAATCTAGCACCGTGCCTGATACATTGTGAGGGTCATAGAAGTGCTGTGATTAGTGAATGAATGAATGAATGAATGAACAGAGTACTACAAAAATGAGGTTCTGGGGCCAGGGCTGAGCGGGAGCGCCCTTGCCTGGCATGTGTGAGGTTCTGGGTTTGATTCTCAGCACCATATGTAAATCCAACAAAACAAAGGTCTAAAACAACTAAAAATATATATATATATATATAACAAAAATGAGGTTCTAGCCAGGCCTGGTGGCACACGCCTGTAATCCCAGCAGCTCAGAAGGCTGAGGCAGGAGGATTGTGAGTTCAAAGCCAGCTTCAGCAATTTAGTGAGGTCCTAAGTAACTAAGTGAGTCCCTGTCTCAAAATAAAACATAAAAAGGGCTGGAGATGTGGCTTAGTGATTAAGCACCCATGGGTTCAATCCCCAGTATCAAAAAATAAAAATAAAAATAAATTGTCAGGTGAGGTAGTATATGCCTGTAATCCCAGCGGCTCAGGAGGCTGAGATAGGAGGATGGCAAAGTTCAAAGCCAGACTCAGCAATAGCAAGGTGGCAAGATGCTAAGCAACTCAGCGAGACCCTGCCTCTAAATAAAATACAAAATAGTGCTGGGGATGAGGCTCGATGGTTGAGTGCCCCTGAATGAATGAACTACAAAATCAATCCTGGGTACCAAAAAAAGAGGTTCTTAGACCTGACAAGCCATGGGATCACCTCTGTACATAACCACAAGGGAGTGTTGATGGTCTCAGACCAAGGGAAAGCTTTAGATTAGACTAAAGACTAAAAAAAGAAGAAGAAGAAGAAAAAGAGAGGAAGGAAGGAAAGGAGGAAGAAAAAGAATTAAGGAATCAGTAGCTCAGTATCTTATAACCTTTAAAAATCTTTTTTTTTCTTTTTTAGGGAGGTACTAAGGATTGAGCTCATGGGCAATCAGCCACTGAGCCACATCCCCAACCTGATTTTATATTTCATTCAGAGACAGGGTCTCATGGAGTTGCTAAGTGCCTTGCTAAATTGCTGAGGCTGGCTTTGAACTCACGAACCTCCTGCCTCAGCCTTGCTAGCCGCTGTGATTACAGGCGTGGGCCACCTCTTTAACAATCTTATAAAAAAGACTGTACCACTTAAAATAGTATTCTCAAATGAGAATTTCTGAACTTTGATAACATATTTTCCTATAACAAATTCATAGTTTTTTCTTTCTTTCTTTTTTGCGGGGATGGTGGATACCAGGATCGAACTTAGGGGCACTTGACCACTGAGCCACATTCCCAGCCCTATTTTGTATTTTATTTAGGGACAGGGTCTCACTGAGTTACTTAGCCCTGTGCTTTTGCTAAGCCTGTCTTTTTTTAGTTTTAGGTGGATACAGTATCTTTATTTTTTATTTTTATGTGGTGCTGAGGATTGAACCCAGTGCCTCATGTATGCTAGGCGAGCACTCTACCACTGAGCCATAGCCCCAGCCCTAAGCCTGTTTTTGAACTCATGATCCTCCTTCCTCAGCCTCCAAAGCCACTGGGCTATTTTTTTCTTTTGATGCAAGTATGTCTTTGGATCTTTTCCCTCAAATATGTTCATTACACTTTTCTTGATCCCATAGGGACTGACTTTTACATGCTCTATTTTCTGGGTTCTGTTGCCTTCCTATTAGGTTTGACCAATCAGACTGTGACAGGAGATTGGAGGGCTGGAGGAGGGGAAAGTATTTCTCCACTGCTGTCTGCTCCAGGTGGCATATCTAGCAGTGAATGTATCTTTCCTATCTCCATGGATCCAGTTACCCAGTGTGTTCCAGAAGATACTTTAAAATATATATATATTTAGTTTTAGGTGGATACAATATCTTTATTTTTATGTGGTGCTGAGGATCGAACCCAGTGCCTCACACATGCTAGGTGAGTGCTCTATCACTTGAGCCACATCCCCAGTACTCTTAAGTCATTGTAATAAATTCTCTTTTAAGCTCTAAAAAAAGGAGAAGAAGAAGAAGTAAGAAATCAGAGGGCCATGGGCTGGGGTTGTGGCTCAGTTGGTAGAGTGCTTGCCTAGCATGAGTGAGGCACTTTAGATTAGACTAAAGACTAAAAAAAAGAAGAAGAGGAGGAAAAAGAGAGAGGAAGGAAGGAAAGGAGGAAGAAAAAGAATTAAGGAATCAGTAGCTCAGTTATCTTATAACCTTTAAAAATCTTTTTTTTCTTTTTTCTAAGTGAGCACCACATATAATAAATAAAGGTCAATCAACAACTAAAAACAATTTTTTTAAGAAATCAAAGGGCCAGATATTTTAATGGGACAGCAGAAGCCTGGAATTCTGTCCTACCTTTTTTTCTCTAGTGAAAAGAAAATAAATCCAATGCATTGAAGTTTTCATAACTGCCATATTGTTAAGGTAATTCTGGGTGGGCAGAAGAGTATACATGGCCCTAAGTGAGTGACTAGCACAAAGTCACACAGGAGCAGTCTGAAAGTCCAGGTGGTAGCCCAGGGGCTCACCTGACCCAGGACTGGGCACTCTTCCCTGTCATCCCCTCACACTCATCCTGACCGAATCTCTCACCTCTGAGTTTCTCATATGGAGTCATCAAGTCTCATGATGATTTATTGTCCTGAAGAGACCCTCTGCTCCCCAGCACTCCAGGAAGACTAAACATCAAACATGATCTTGGGCCAGGTCAAGTGGTACCTGCCTATAATCCCAGGGAATTGGGAGGCTGAGGCAGGAGGGTTGCGAGTTGAAAGTCAGCCTCAGCAATTTAATGAGGCCCTAAGTACTTAGTGAGACCCTATCTGAAAATAAAATAAAATTTCAAAGGGCTGGGGGTATGGTTCAGTGGTTAAGCACTCCTGGGTTCAATACCTGCTATCAAAAACAAACAAATCTTGGTACCAGGGGCAGAGTGCCTGGCCCATCCTTGAGTGGCATCCCCAGCACTGCAAAAAAGGAAAAAACAAAAACAAAATCCCCAAACATTATCTTAATTAGCCAGCAGAGGGCAAGATGTTGAATATGTTGGAATCCTTGAAAAAGCCTCAGTCTTTTACCTACCCACCTTGCATGTTGTCCTTTACCCAGTGCAGCTCCTGCTGCATACAGAGAGATGGCCAATGAAAGGTGATGACCGAGTGGGGCATTTTTCCAGTTGGGACTGAGATCATGGGGAGACAGGACGAGGTGTGGTGACAGCATGTCTCAGGGCCCAAGGCTATGAAACAGGGTTTGGGGAATAGAGGAGAGGGTGGGGTGCTGTTGAACTCTGGCTACACAGATCCGAGTGGGAAAGGTGAAGTGGCAGTGTGGGTGACACAGGTGGAAGGATGAAATAATACAGAGCAGAGTAAGAACTGAAGGCATGTCCAGGTCCACCCAGGTCCCCACAGGCCCAGCGTTCCCTGCAGGGGACGAACAGGAAGCTGTGACTTCCTCTCTCCTTTCCCTCTCTGGGCTTACCCTCAAGGTCATTTGCTGCCGAGATGAATTCCTACCTGTGTTTTAGTTGGCACTGTGCCCTGGGCATGATGACAATAGCTGCTCAGTGTCCAACTCCCCTGCACCACAATCGCCCCAAACTTCTCCTTTGAAATAGCAATCATTCCTGCACAGACATACAAAGTGCTGTCTCACACGTATTAACTTAATTCATTACACCAATTTTGTTAGAGACTCTTTTTTTTTAAACTGGGGATTGAACTCAGGAGCACTTAACCACTAAGCCATACCCCCAGTCCTCTTTTATATTTTATTTAGAGACAGGGTCTCACTAATTGCTTAGTTCCTCGATAAGTTGCTGATGCTGACTTTGAACTGGTGATCCTCTTGCCTCAGCCTTCTAAGACACTGGGATTACAGGCGTGTACCACCATGCCCAGCCAGAGACTTTTATCTGAAAAAAAAAAAAAATTCCCCTACTGAGAACTGAACCCAGGGCCTTGCACGTGCTGAGTAAGTAAGCACCTGCCACTGAGCACTGAGCTATACCCCCTCTTTCTCCACATTTTCTTTTTTTTTTTTTTTAAGCTGGGTCTTGCTATGTTGCCTAGAGAACCTCAAAACTCCTGGATTCAGGTGATCTTGCTACCTCAACCTCCTATGTAGCCAGGACTACACGTGTGTCACTACGCCTAGTTAATCTTGAAAATTTTGTTCTGTTTTGTGGTGCTGGGATTGAACCCAAGGTCTCGTATCACTGAGCTATAGCTCTAGTTCTTTTTAATTTGGAGGGACAGGGTCTCACTAAGTTATTCAGGCTATCCTTGAATTGGGGATCCTCCTGTCTCAGCCTCCTGAGTAGCTGGGACAACAAGTACATGCCACTGCACTTGGTTAACTCCTGGAAATTTTAAGCAAAGAAATAAGCTCAGGAAGTAAAATAACTCACCCAAAGGCACACAGCTAGTGATTACCAGAAGTGAGACTCGAGACCCTCTGCTCCCTCTTCTCAGACACTTGTCCTGATTCCTGCCTCTGTGTCCACTCCTTGCCCCTCCCCTGGGCCCCAAGAGAGCACTTTCTGCAGAGGGACTCTGCACACGGTTGGGAGTAGAGGGAAGCCAGGAGCATTGGCACACACCTGGGATTACAGACTTGAGAGGCTGCAGCAGGAGGATCACAGTTTGAGGCCAGTCTGGGCATTTTGGGAGAGACCTCTCAAAAACAAAAACAAAAAAAATCCCCCAACAATAGAAAAGGATGGATGAAGCCTTGGTTTGACTCCTGTCATTCCTGAGCTGTCTCCCCTATTCTCCCCTTCCTCATTGCACAGAGTGCTCTCTCTCTCTCTCTCTCTCTCACACACACACACACACACACAGGTTTCAGGTCCATCTTGGTATGCCCCACCCACCACTGGTCTGGCCCAACAGGGAGCAGGCAGCTGTCCTCACACCCCTCCCTCTGAGGTGTGGGTGTGGGCTGCGGCTCCTGGCTGGCGGCAGAGAAGCACTCACACCCTGAGCCTCCTGCTGAGCGCCTCAGTGGCCCCTGCCAGCCTGGCAGGCACTTGCTGGCTCTTTATTCAGCACCACCAACCTCCGATGTCCTGCGATGCCCACACCCAACACTTCCTCCCCTCTACCCACGTTCTTCTGGGTCAATGCCTCTGGAGGCAGCGCGCTGAGTGCCGACGATGCTGGGATGCCCGTGCAGTTCCTCGCCCTCAGGGTCACGGTTGCTTTGGCCTACGGGATGGTAGGGGCCATCGGCTTGCTGGGCAATTCGGCTGTGCTGTGGGTGCCGGGCAGCTGCGCGAGGAGAGTCCCTGGCCCACCTTCCGACACTTTTGTCTTCAACCTGGCTCTGGCGGACTTGGGGCTGGCCCTCACTCTCCCCTTCTGGGCAGCAGAGTCAGCACTGGACTTCCACTGGCCCTTTGGAAGTGCCCTTTGCAAAGTGGTCCTGACGGCCACTGTCCTCAACATCTATGCCAGCATCTTCCTCATCACAGCACTGAGTGTCGCCCGATACTGGGTGGTGGCCATGGCTGTGGGGCCAAGCACCCACCTCTCACTCTTCTGGGCCCGTGCGGCCACCCTGGGAGTGTGGCTGGCGGCGGCTCTGGTGACGGTGCCCACGGCCATCTTTGGGTCTGAGGGCGAGGTGTGGGGTGTGCGCCTCTGCCTTCTGCGCTTCCCCAGCAGGTACTGGCTGGGGGCCTACCAGCTGCAGAGGGTGGTCCTGGCTTTCGTGGTGCCCTTGGGCGTCATCACCACCAGCTACCTGCTGCTGCTGGCCTTCCTGCGGCGGCGGCAGAGGCGGCGGCAGGACAGCAGAGTTGTGGCCCGCTCTGTCCGTATCCTGGTGGCCTCCTTCTTCCTCTGCTGGTTCCCCAACCATGTGGTCACTCTCTGGGGTGTCCTGGTGAAGTTTGACCTGGCGCCCTGGAACAGCACTTTCTACACCATCCACACCTACGTCTTCCCCGTCACCACGTGCCTGGCACACAGCAACAGCTGCCTCAACCCCGTGCTCTACTGTCTCCTGCGCAGGGAGCCTCGGCAGGCCCTGGCAGACACCTTCAGGGACTTGCGCTCAAGGCTGTGGCCCCAGGGCCCGAGCTGGAAGGAACATGTGGCCCTAAAGGAGGTAGGCAGGCAGTGGGCAGCCAGTACGCCCCAGGAGAGCGGTCCTTCTGCCATGCTCATGAGCGGAGACAGAGGGACACCTGGGTGAAGGGTACAGCAGGTGCAGGATCCACACATTCTAAGCTGCCCTGGGCCAGGCTCAGTGTCCTCTGGGAAAGTCTGACCTTTGATCACCAACTCTGGGTGTGGTGGAATGGGGGAGGCCAGGGCCTGGGGCCAGGGGATAAGGGCTGGGGCAACAGCTCACAGAGGTGGGAAAGAGGAGGAACCCAGAATAAACCTCTGTCACCTACAGGTGTCTTGACCCTTCATCCTTGTTCTGCCTCCAGGACAGTGCAAGAATTCTCAGGACATTTTCCCCATAGGGGTCTAGGCTCATGGATCAAAGGTCAGTGCCCATCTCCCTCTGCCCATCCTCCCCACTCTCACCTCTAAACAGACTATTTCTTCTTGTATTTTTTTTTTTTTTAGTTGTCAGTGGACCTTTATTTTATTTATATGTGGTGCTGAGAATTGAACCCAGGGCCTCACTCATGCTAGGCAAGCACTGTACCACTGAGCCCCAGCCCCAGCCCTAAATGGGTTATTTCTTTTCCTTATTTGGTACCAGCACTCACAGTGCCCTCTTCCCCTGGCCACTTACCAACTTAGGGGTACCACAGAAACTTGATGCCAGAAGACTCAGCCTCAAGAGCTGTAGCTCCCCTGCAGCTCCCTGCAATGCCAGCTGTGGGGTCTTGCCAGAATCCCTTGCACCTGCCAGACCCGTGTGTAAATCCCTGGTGCTGTCTCTCCTTGAATTAGGATTTGGAAGGTTATCACTGGTGCCTATAATCCCAGTGGCTCAGGAGGCTGAGGCCCGAGGACTATGAATTCCAAGCCAGCCTCAGCAATTTAGCAAGGCCCTGAGCAGTTTACTCAGTGACCCTGTCTCTAAACGAAATGCAAAAAAGGGCTGGGAATATGGCTCAGTGGTTGAGTGCCCCCGAGTTCAGTCCCCAGTAGTACCCCCCTCAAAAAAAAAGTGATAACAGCAAGTCAAAGACACGTATGGGGCAGATGGAGGTGAAAGATGCAGAAAGGAGTGGAGGAAAAGGAGGTGAACGGTAGGGCGAGAGAAGTGGTGCGAGTCCCTACCCTGAATGCATAGCTCCAATTCATCATAGCTAGAGCACCTGATTTTCACCTTTACCTCAGACAAGTTACTTACCACTTTGTGCCTTAGTTTTCTAATCTGTAAAAGGGTTCAACGATGCAAGAAATATAGTGTTTTTGCTATTATTCTCACATCCCATGTAAAATGGGGACGAAGGGAAAGGAGGAAATAAAGGGCAGCTGGTCTTTTTGGAAGTGGTTTTACATGCTATGGGTTATAAGGAAAGTCTCGCAGCAAACCCCTCTCAAAGATGGGTCTCTAGGAGAGAGGGCTTGACTTGGTTTATTTTTGGTACCAGGGATTTAACTCAGATACACTTAACTACTGAGCCCCATCCCCAGCCTTTTTTGTGTGAGTGGTGCTTGGAATTGAACCCAGGGCCTTGTGCGTGCAAGGCAAGCACCCTACCAACTGAGCTGTATCCCCCAGCCTTCCTTTGTATTTAACTTAGAGACAGGGCCTTGCTGAGTTACTTAGCGCCTCTCTAAATTGCTGAGGCTGGCTTTGAACTTGCAATCGTTCTGCTTCAGCCTCCCACAAACTGCTTGGATCATAGATGTGTGCCATTACACACTCCCATTTGTTTATTGGGTACCAGGGATTGAACTCAGGGGCACTCAACCATTGAGCCACATCCCTAATTCTATTTTGTACTTAGAGACAGAGTCTCACTGAGTTGCTTAGCCACCTTGCTTTTTGTCCATGCTGGCTTTGAACTCTTTCTGCATCTTCCTGACTTAGCCTCCTAAATCACTGGGATTATTGGCGTGAGCCACCACCCCTGGCCTCCCGTTTTTAATGATGGTTAGCTATTAGAAGGGAGTTTTAGGGGGAGAGTCCTTGGAAAGAAGGTAAGAGGCAGAGGGAGGCTGGGCTGGAGGTTCCACTTCCATTGCCCTCCACTGTCCGCTCTCTGGCACACCTTGTAACCCAGGACACCAGCACCCTCTCTGAAGAGGAGACCATGTGCCTCCAGGTTCCTTTCCCTGCCCTGTACCATTCAGTTGCTGAGAAGAGGCCACTCAATTCATAGCATATTAAGCAATGGGAAAGAGATTTAATTAGCCCACTGATGTTTAATTTCCTCTTTTTGATAATGTTTAAACTGGTTCCAAAACTCCAGGTCAGTTCCCAGCCAATTCAGGAAGATGGAAAATGCTCCCCTACCTAAGTATCCCTCTTCCCACCTCCAGCAGCTTGCGGATATTGGCTCCTCTGGGGGCATCTTGGCTTTATGGGAACCGGAGGTAAATATTGACAAAATTTACAAAGGTCCAAGTCAGCAACGAGTTAATGCACATAGACTTGCCTTTGAAGGAGAGTGGGAGAGAGGATGGGCAGTGGAGGGGGAAGCCTGGGCAGGGTGGGACGCAGCAGGCTTGGATCTCCTCTGGGAGTGCAAGGCGAAATGGAAGGCTTGGCTTGGAAACTGCAGTAGGATGCCTGCTAGGTGGGGCATGCCTAGAACCCCTGCAGTTTGGGAGTTGAGGCAGGAGAATCCCAAGTCTCAAAAAAACTGGGGATACAATTCAGTGGTAAGGCACCCTTGGGTTCAGTCAGCAGAACCAACCATCCACCACCACCACCAAAAAAAAAAAAAAAAAAAACCATAAAAAAAAAAAAAAAAAAAAAAACCATAAAAAAGCAGCAGGAGGGATAGAGGTCCAATCAGAGTTTTCAAAAGTAGAATTAAAGAGGTGACAAGGGTCAGGATGATGAAAGCTGGGAGGCTCTGGCTGTCTGGGATCAGCATCAGAGAAATACTTTTGGCATCACATTTTAGGGCAGAAGATAAGGAGCTGCTGAGGCCTGGGTCTGTTTGAAACTTGAAACTCTGACATTCTCAGGCAGAGAAGTGAAGGGCTGGAACTAGGACTGGCTTTTTCCTGGCTTGGTGACTTTTTTGCACCCAGCCTATAAAATGGGGACTTTTTCTACCTCCTAGGATTCCAATAATGGATGAGATAAAGCCCCTTGGAAGATCCAGATGCAGGTTAGTGTCTCCATGCAACCTCAAGTCTTCCTAGGCGGGCTTTTGAGCCCCCTTCTTCTCATCTCACCCCGCAGGCTCCAGCAGTGTGCACAACCAGCACGGACACAGCCCCATGCTCTCCACCCCTGGCCCAAGTGAAGGGTGTCAACTAGAAATGAGAAGTGAAATGAGGCAAAAACAAGAACTGAAACCAGAGGCAAAGAGCAGAGGAGGAGCTTGGGTGAAGGCTGACACTGGGGACAAACCAGAGCAGGAGGGGGTTGAATATGAAATGAGTGACACTGGGGAGGTTACAAGAACCGTGCCAAAAGGGGCAAGAGGCAGATAGGACTTCTAGCACAGCATACAAATAAGATGAAAGTAAGCTTTGTAATATTGGCATCCCCAACAGCTGCTGGAACCTGAGTGCCTTTTTTTTTTGGTACTGCGGATTGAACCCAGGGGTGCTTAGCCACTGAGCCACATCCCCAGCCCTTTTTATTTTTAATTTTGGAACAGGGTCTCACTAAGTTGGTTAAGGCCTTGCTAAGTTGCTGAAACTGCCTCAAACTTGTGATCCTCCTGCCTCAGCCTCCTGAACTGCTGGGATTACACACATGATCCACTGTGCCGGGCTAGCCTTTTTCTGAATTTTTTGAGACAGGGTCTCACTCTGTTACCCGGCTGGCCCTGACCAGGCAATCCTCCTGCCTTAGCCTCCTGAGTAGCTGAGATTACAGGCATGTGCCACCATGTCCAGAATAACTTGTTCATTTTAAAGATCTGCATGGCTTCATTCATTAGTGCCCCTTCTCTGCAGTGAGGCAGAGGGCCCTTCTGGTGAGACCACGAGACCCAGAGAGGAATCTGGGTCACTCCTGCTTGCTCTCTCACCATCACCCTCAGAACTAGCAGATATTACAAGACAGCACTTCATGGGTTTTCAGTCTTTAATTTTCCCTGCTTGATCTTTTGCTTTTTTCTTTTTTTTTTTTTTAACAATCATATTGGCAGAAAAATGGTTGGAGCTGGTGGGCACTGGGGGAGTCCACTGAAAAACCCCCCAAATTCACGCTGAGGTTTTAGGTTATGGTTACTGAGGTGGGAGATGAAGTCAGGATTCATACAGCTTCCCTAACCCACCCTAGAACTTCTTCCAAATAGCTGATAAAGAGGGTCAGATAGGAGCGCCATTACTCTAGATGAAGGGAGAGGTCACTCTCCCCGTTCTTCCCTCAAGTTCAGAGTTGGAAATAGAAGGCTACGATCTCTACTGCCTACAATCTTCTCTTAAAAGTATAAAACACGTGCAGTTGGCTTTGGTACAAAAAAGAAAAGAAAAGAAGAGTAAAACATTCTGGTCCCTGTGGGTTTTTTCCCTCACCCCCAATAAACCATTATGGCCGCCCTAACTTCTATGCCACCAACTCCAGGAAGCCAGGTCTTCTCTCCCTGGGTTTCCTGGAGGATGGAGAGAGCAGTAGTAAGAGGTGGAGGGGGGCAGGGAGAGGGGTGTGGCCCTGCCCTCAGCCCTCCTTAAAGGGGCAGTAGGGTCCTGTGGTTGTAGCCTCTTGTTGAAGATGTGTGTTGCTGGGGAAGGATGTCAGGGCCAGAACCTGTCAGCGCATGGCTAACCCTGAACACACCCCAGTAGTGTTAAAGGACAAGGCCCCCTGATCCCTATGGCTTGGTTCCCATGTCCCTGGTCCTTTAAATCGCCCCTCTCCCCCCATAACTAATAAACAATAAATAAATAAATTTTCCTAAAGTAGAGGGAAGAAGGCATGAAAAATTGGCATCTGTGGTGTAGCTTTTGGATGCCACCAAGGGGATACCGTGGCCTAAACCCCCTGGCTTGCTAAATGGCCCCAGGTATCCAAGGATTCCAAGAGCTGGCAAGGACGATCAGCAGTTCTTTCAAACGTTCCCTCATCATTAGCAGACTGGAGTCACCAAGGTTTGCCCCCCTCAGTAATGTTCTTCAGTGGGGTGCAGCACAGGGAGAGGGAACCCCTTAGCTCTCTGAAGCCACAGGCTCCCCATCACGGCTCTCTATCTCCTCCGGGATGTCCTGCATTCGAGTGAAGTCTGCAGAGGAGAGGGTAAAACAGTGAGCAAGCTGTCTCCCATGAGGAACTGTCCCCTACACCAAAGCCTTCCCACCTGAGGGTTGGGGGACTCTGAGCGCTAGGGAGGATGACTCCTTGGGGTAGGAGAAAACCATCAGCAGCATGTCCCCACCTAGATGCTTGGTATACTTCCTAAATACATAGATATACAATTTGATCAATAAAATACAAAACACTTAGAATTATAATATGAAATTATAATCTAGCTAGTTATTTTGTATTTCCTGAACCAACTTTTAGAACTCGGAGATCGCTGAAATCAATTTACTTTTGGGTGTGTGTGAGTGTTACCAGGGATTGAAGTCAGGGGCATGTCTCCAGCCCTTTTTTGTATTTTGAGACAGGCTCTTTCTGTGTTGCTTAGGGCCTTGCTAAATTGCTGAGGCTGGCTTTTTTTTTTAAAGAGAGAGAGAATTTTTTAATATTTATTTTTTTTTTTAGTTTTCGGTGGACACAACATCTTTGTTTGTATGTGGTGCTGAGGATCAAACCTGGGCAGCACGCATGCCAGGCAAGCGCGCTACCGCTTGAGCCACATCCCCAGCCCCCTGAGGCTGGCTTTGAACTCGCAATCCTCCTGCCTCAGCCTCCCGAGCTGCTGGGATTACAGGCACACACCACTGTGCCCAACCACTCAGTAATTGTTCATTACTTTGAAGCTCTATTTTCATGGGCTGGGAGTATGGCTCAGTGGTAGAGCACTTGCCTAGCTCACACAAGGGTCCTGGGTTTGATTCCCCACACTGCAAAAAATAATAAAAAATCTATTTCTTCTTGAAAAAGTTGGGAGTCACCAACCACTCCTTATTAGGCAAAATATCTGTCACTCTCAAGAGTTACTGTGGCCTGGCTTGCTGGCACATTCCTATAATTTCAGAGGTTTGGGAGCCTAAGGCAAGAGGGCTGCAAGTTCAAAACCAACCTCAGCAACTTAGTGACATCCTATCTCAAGATAAAAAATAAAGGGTGGCTCAGTAGTTCAGTGCCCCTGGGTTTGATTCCAGGACCTGGGTGGTCAGTTAGCACCCACCTGGAAGCCACAGCCCAAGAGCTGCAGCTCACCTCCACTGCAGATCCCACCAGGGTCTCACCTCGTGGACTGTGGGGTGGGGACAGACGGCTGCTGCCTTCCTCCTCACTGCCAGTGTCAGGGTCACTGCTGTCTTGCAGCCGCTCTTCTGGGCTACCCAGCTCCTGCCTCTCGCGGTCCTCAAAGGGTCGGTGGACAGAGCGAACAGTCACGGGCAGATCCAGGCGGTCATGTCCCCGGCTGGGCTGTGGAAAGCGGGCAGAAACTACAGCGGGCTGGACAGTGTGAGGACTGCAGGCTCTGCCTCCCTGGGGGCGGGGTGTCCAAAACCCACTCCTTCTCAACAGTGACTCCCTGGGGTAGCCTCCCCAACTGATCTCTTTTCTTGTGGCCATCCAGGTCATTTTCCTTCAGCACCCATCCCTGTACCTGGGGAAACTTCTTTGTTTTCTAACCAATCTTTTTTTGGACAGTACTAGGGATTGAAGCCAGAGGCACTCTGTCACTGAGATCCATTTTTTAATAATTTGAGGCAGGGTCTCCCTAAGTTCTGAGGCTGGCTTCAAACTTGGGATCCTCCTGCCTCAGACTCTGGAGGCCAAGACTACAGGCCTGTGGCCACCCCAAGCACCCAGCTCCAACCAAAATCTTAGTATTCTTCCAGGCTGCTGCTTGATTTCATTGTGGGGGGCCCTCTGTCACCTGAGGCCGGGTTACCACTCTAGGTGGCCCTACCTGAGGGGGCGTGAAGCTCAAGTACAGGGCGTCGCCAGCGGGGAGGCTACGCCTGCGCGGATCCAGAGGCC